GCTCTTCCTATTGGCTGGGGGGTCGGGGGCGTCGAGTCCTCAGGCTCGCCCTGCACTCAGCGCTCTGCGCTCAGCACACCTGTGGGCTCACAGCCTTCTTGCTTTCCCGATAATCGAGAACACGCGCGAAAGTGGGGTCTCGGAGCTGGACTGTGGCGGCGGAGGACTTTTCCCAGACAGGCTGACTCCCAATAAGCTGCATCCCTTTACTCATCCATCCAGTAAACCATATAATTACTGAGCACCTACTTCGGGCCTGGCAGTCTTCTAGGCCCTTTCTAGCTGGGAATAAAACATCCGAAGTTCACAAGTACATACATCTTAAGAGAAAGTATGAGTGTTATAGGTTTGGGTTCCAAAGCCGTTTCTAGCATGCTTATAAAACCATGAAATAGAACATATTCATTCCATGAAAAATAAATTGAGGAGACAGTAACAGTTTTAGAAGCTAAGGGTCCCAAACTGTGCCTTAATAAAGTGAATTAGATTCCCCCCTTTTCATTTAATTTACATATACCTGGCATATTTAATTTTACAAAAACGCTTAAGTATTATACATCTTAGTGCCATCTTTTTTGCCCTACCATAGAGAGCAACCTTTGTGAGGAAGAGCATCACTTGCCCTTTATTGCATTATCGTTAAAGAAAATTCGGTTTTGTTGTTTCCCTATTTTGTTAAAATTTAATTTTCAGGCCTTCTTTGTCTTAAAACTCTCAATAATAAAATGGAAAATGCAAGTCTACTTATTTAACAAGTACTAGCAAGAAGGCATCTTAGAAAAAAATTTTAAGATGTCTCTTCATGCCCTTGCAGCTGGAAAGAGAGACACTATTCTTCATAAAACTAAACTAAGAAGGTGAGAAAATAATAAAGGCAATTAAGAGCACATTCATCATATGTGGATAAGGATGGCAAAGCTCATAATTCATTTTTGTTAATTTCCTATGGACACAAAAATATGTTCTCTCTTCTAGGGATATAAGTTTCTATATAACTCTTAAATCAAGATTTTTATACTATTCAATTTCTGTAGGACTTTATATTTTGTCCCCTAGATGTAACCTTGACACAAATGTATTGAATTTTCCCACAGAACTGTATTTAACAAGTTCTCAGATTTATAAGTTTTTGCCCTATGTATTTAGCAGGCTGGATACTATTATACTTCCTCATAAATTGTGCCCTTTTTCAATGTATAAAATCCATCTCTGATTCTGAACTTTCAATTAGTTTTCTGCAATTTCTGGTTTTTGTTTGCTTGGCAGCTTATCGACCAACCTCACAGGTGTTTCTTGTGAACAGCATATGTCTGGATTTTGTTTGCTTGACCCAGTCTGTCTCTGCCTTTATATAAGAAAATTCAGTGCATTCACCTTTAGCACGTGGACCGAAAATTTATTGCATTCTTTATGTTACTTTGGGTTCATTATTTTACATCATGGATTTCTGTTTCCTTTCCCATAATTTTTCTGACTTATCTCCATCTTTAGTTTGTTATTTGTTTAGAGTCCTTTCTTGAACTGTTTCTTCAGATGGAAGAGACCTGGATGATACAGACTCTGAATTCTTGCAAATCCTGACATATTTATTTCATGAAGACAGGTGAGTATATTTTGGCTGATGGATTGCAGCCCCTTTATTTTACCAGTCAATAGCCTCTGTTTTCTAGTTTCCAACATTACAAGTGAGAAGTCTAATGTTATTTTTCTTTTTAGATAACTTGCCCTTTCTGCCTGAAAGCTTATGAGTTTTTTTTTCTTAGCATGTAGGAATGACATCTGTATATGCCTAGTGTAAATCTTTACTAATTAATCCAGACTGGAATGTAGTGAGTTCTTTAGATCTACAGACTCAAGCCTTTAAAATTTTTTTCAGCCCAGAGAATTTTTCCATTATTTTGTTATTTATTTTTTCACTTCTATCCACTCCTTTTTTCCTTCTGGAACTTCTGTGTCTGCATATTAGGTCTCAGAGATCTATCCTTTAAACCTATTATCTTTTTTTTTTTCTTTATGATTCCTATCTCTTTCTTTTCCTCTATGCTTTGGGGTATTTCTTTAAGTTATCTAGGCTACTTCTTGGGTCTCAAAAGTGACCATTTCAATTCACTTGCTAAATTGATGAATTAGGAAGATATAGGTAGATACAGATTTACATATTTCTAAATTTAAATTCTATTTTTAAAAGTATATACATATATACACACATACATATATGTGTATTGCATATTTGTTTTGTTTTGTCATTTCATTGAGGTTCAAGTCTGGTTAATGGATTATTTTAAGTGGTAATAGTCCCATAGATAGGGGAAGACAAAGAGGCAAGGAAGCCTTTACTGCAGCTAGCTGTTGAGTAAGAAGCATGAATCCTGCAATTTTCCTACTGAGGCACATGGATGAAACCCTCTTGCTTTTTTTTTTTTAAGATTTTATTTATTTATTTGAGAGAGAATGAGTGCATGAGATGGGGTTGGGTCAGAGGGAGAAGCAGACTCCCCGCTGAGCAGGGAGACAGATGCGGGACTTGATCCCAGGACTCCAGGATCATGACCTGAGCTGAAGGCAGTTGCTTAACCAACTGAGCCACTCAGGTACCCCCAAACCCTCTTGCTTTCTAGTCTACTTATAATCTCTCAGACTCAGCACAGGAGACAGTCAGCTTCAGCTTCTTCTTGGCCTTCTTCAAAGAACCCCAGTAAATTTATACAGATCTCCTAAGGGGTCCACAGACCTAAGGTCTAGGCTCTTTTCAAGAAACCCCACTTTCAAGTCCGCACACCTAGGCTCTGATGTTGTTCTCCACATTCTTATCTAGCCTATAAAGAAGGGGACAGAGAGAGATCCAACATCAGGTTTCTAAACCAGTGCTCTGAACTCACGGTTTCTCTCCATAAGTCCCAGTTCTCTGGTTTAGGAGAAGCAGACATCAGAATAGGGAATAGAAGAGCTCATTACAAATCTCCTTCATGATCCACATCTAACTTTAGTAGAGAGCTTGCTCTTTTCTGTGAATGACCTTATAAAATGGGAGACCCATTCACTTTCTTTTATATGAAAAAGCCCAATGGAGAAGACATGTGTCTGGAATGAAAGGTCTTAAGGATTCCAGTTGTTTGAAACAAAACTCTGGTTTCACTTCCCTCTCAAAATAAGTTCAAAAAAGCTCAAAATCCAGGAGACCCAGTCACACCTCTGAGATCCTCTGATACGCAAGTTTAGTCTCAAAGCACATTTTAAAAATGAGACTATAGGGGCATCTGGGTGGTACAGTGGGTTAAGTGTCTGACTCTTGGCTTGGCTCAGGTCATGATCTCAGGGTTGTGATCTCAGGGTTGTGAGATCGAGCCCCATGTAGAGTCCCACCTCAAGCCCCACATCAGGCTCTGCGCTCAGTGCAGAGTCTGCTTGAGATTCTCTCTCCCTTTGCCCCTCCTGCTCATGCCCTCTCTGTAAAATGTGTGCATTCAGGATCTTAACTAGAACTATTTAACCATATTAAAATCTTCATCTTACAGATGAGAAAACTGGGAGCAGAAGATTAAATAACTTGCCCAAAATCACTTAATGGGTAACACAAGGGGTTTTAAAGTCAGTTCTATTAGACAGCAAAAGCCCAGCCTTTAAACACTGTGCCATATAGACTCTGAATGTGTAAGCCAGGGAAGGGTCCACACAATGATTTTCAAAATGTGATCTTGGGAGTCCTAGAAATTCAGGTGTTCATTTCCTGGTGGAGGCCAGAGGGGTACGCCCTGGACCACCTACTTCTGCTAAACTGCAAACATAGTTAACATATATAACTTCCTATGTGCCAGGAACCAGTTTAAGCATTTTGAGGACATTAACTCAGTTAATTCTAACAACAAGTCTGTAAAATAGTTACCATTATTGTGCCTATTTTTTTAAAAGATTTTTTATTTTATTTATTTGACAGAGAGAGACACAGCGAGAGAGGGAACACAAGCAGGGGGAGTGGGAGAGGGAGAAGCAGGCTTCCTGATGAAAAGGGAGCCCAATGTGGGGCTCGATCCCAGGACCCCAGGATCATGACCAAAGGCAGACGCTTAACGACTGAGCCACCCAGGCACCCCTATTGTGCCTATTTTAAAGATGACACAAAGAGATTGTCATTCAGCCAAGATCACATCATGAGTGGGTGGTATTGTCAGAATAGAATCCAAGGAGTCCCTTGCTTTTAAAGACTACCCTAGAAAGCGTTCCTTACCTAATAGTTGAATACTACTGATCCAGCCTAAGTTTGAGGAGAAGTGCTTTAAGGAAATGAAAACATTTTCCTAAGGGAACATTGAACAAGATAATAGAAGAGCAAGTGGTCAGATCTCTTTCTGGGGCTCTTTCCCATGGCTCCGCTTCGGTCCCACCTTGTCTTTCTCCTCTCTGTCTGGAGTCTCCAGAAAAGTCCAGGACTTGGCAAGAAAAGAGGAAGGAGGAAAGCGCGACCCGCCACCGTGTCAGCAGGAGCCAAGCGGGTCCCGGGCAACAGTAACCTGGAATTTGAAAGGTCCTCTTCGCGGCTGCGCGACTCCAACCTCGAGTTTAGGGACAATGCTAGGGCCAGAGCTAGTGGGGTGTCTATTCCGCCGAGGGCGCGGGACAGCAGGTGCAACCCTCCCTCGCCCCCAAAGGCGAAGTGACAGCAGTTGGTTTCCCCAGATTCCTATTGGGGGTTCCCCACTTGCGGGTTCTGAGAGTCCCAGAATTCTTCGAGGTCAGCCGCTCATGGCCCAGAATCCTCAGGCCCGCCCCCTTCTCAGGGGCCCTAAAAGCTCCTAGAACACTCCTATTTCTTTAGCATTGGGGGTGACTGAACCCCAGCCTCTGTCCAGAGCACAAAGAGCACGGGTCTTCTGCCCACGAACGCGGGTGGCTGAGAGCCGGACTGCGCACCCCTTCTGGCCAATCAGGAGCCACGTTCTCAAGCGCTCTCCTTTCCCGCCCCGCCCCTCCCGTCTCCATGGAAACGCTCCGAGTGTCTACTCTGAGGCCTGGGGCTTCCATTTCGGTCCAGCGGGGCTGCGGCTATTGTTTGTGTAGACGGACTATTTTGGCCGGTCCCGTCCCCCTCAGAGGCTCCATAAGTGACGCGGACTCTCGGGAGTACCGAGCCAGAAGCGGACAAGGGCGGGGAGAGCTGTGGCTGAAGAAAGAGTGGCAGAAAAGGGAGGGTGAGGGGCCGAGAAGCGGCTCCGGCTTAGAAATCTCGAAGACACCGGTGTAGGTGGGTCCTTCACAGCCGCCCTCCCCAAGTTAAAACCGAATATGGGGAAGGGGAGAGGAGGACAGAGGCAGCTTGGACCCTGGAGCCGGGGTGCTCGGGGTTGGAAAGTGTTGGGGTGGAGCTCGGGTCGGGGGTCTGGACGTGGAACGGAGGCCGCGCGCGTCTTCGCTGTGGGAGTGGAGGCCGCGCAGATCCGTGGCCTTGACCGGCAGATCCCACTCCTTGAGAACCGTTTGGGTGTCTGAATCCAAAAACACTCGGGCAGCCCGTGGCGCATTGGGGGAGTCCAAACGTGTGCTGCTCTTGAAACGTCCATGAATCGTCCCCACCCCGCGCTAGAGAAAGAGGGCTCTTAACTGTTTATCATTTTCCCCAGGGACCTGTGATCACCAAGGCAGGACCGGGATAGCAAAGGCTCATGTCCCCATTTTACAGGTGAGGAAAGTGAGGCCCTAGGAGGTCTAGAAGTTTGGTCATTTTCAAAGTTCTACAAGTGGTTAGTAATAGACCTGAGACTGATCAGGTCCTGGGAACGCTAGATCTGGGATCCTTTAAGATTTTAGGTACTCTGATAGTAAATCCAGTATTTCTGTTGTAATAAGTACAGGAGAGCAATGGAATTATCTTTCTACTTTATTGATTGAACAAGGAAAAATACTTTTAGAAAGAAACTAAGTGTCGCACTTCTATTTTATTATTCTTGTTAATAATTACGAAAGCTTTGAGACTCAGGTTAAATTACATAGAGAGCATCTGCATCCCTGGAGGGACTGTGAGATCAAATTCTGTTTTCATGCCCAAACTAGAATTGTACCTTTGAAGTTTTTAAAGGTTCAGAAATAAAGTCTTGGGTGCCAATTCTCACAACTCTCCTATCTGGCCCTTGAAACGGAACAGAAGTGTTCTTGGGTTCTTTCTGGCCTCTTTCTAAGAGGTTTTGGGGGGGTCACACCCAGTTAGTATATGGGGATTGTAGTGAGTTTGGGAATTGCAAGGCATGCCCAATCTTTCATTCCTCCTTTCTTCTCCCTCAGCTCAGACTCCTCAAAACTCCACCCTTCCCCAAAAGAGGAGCATAAACAAGGAAGGAATGTTCACTATTTTCCTCAAGACTGATCCCAGGTGAGTAGGATTGTCTTTTCTCATTTATAAAATGCCCCTGAATTCTCCACAGGTGGTGGGAGTAAGAGGAAGCGGCAATGGGGATGGATGGATCAGATAGAATAGAAAATGTTCCTCACTTGACTGAGAAGCTTCCAAGCCTCCTATGTAACATTTCCCTGCCTCCCATCCAGTGTCTCTTTCCAACATTTACTCATTTATTCAGCCATCATCCAGGTCTGTTGTATAATGTTCTTGATGCTCTGAGATAAGGAAATATATAAGAATGTCTTTTCTTAACATTGGGGAGATAAGCCATATGAGGTTAATAATAATGTCTCAAGTTATGCATTAAACAGTGTCATAATGAGTGGCACTTAAAAGACAGAAACAGAAGCTCAGGTTTGAAAAATCATCATGAACAGGAAGATATTATTCTAGACAGGAAGATGATCATTTAGTCTCAGGCAGAAATTGAGGGGAAAATAAGAAAACTGAGCTAGTGGGGCGCCTGGGTGGCTCAGTTGGTTAAGCGACTGCCTTCGGCTCAGGTCATGATCCTGGAGTCCCGGGATCGAGTCCC